TGAAAAAAATAAAAAATTTAAGAATTATTTTCTAAAATATTGATGAAAATATATCAAAATATCTTGAAACATTCTAAAACAATTGTGCAAATGCATTGAAATATTATAATATGTTTAAAAACATTATGGAATACCTCAAAATATTAAAATTTCGATTTCATCACTATTTCTTTTCGGTCTTCTTGAAAACGAAAACGTTTCGAACCGATATTTTAATCCTTGGTCTCCATTCTATTCGTATCTTACTATTGAATCGTTTTTTACTAGGAATCACACTTGAATCAAAAGAATCATACAATTCAATACGAATTGAACGAATCATACGATTCATTTTATTTTTTTTTTAAATACAATTTCTAGTAAAATGACGTCCTTTACTAGAAGAAGTTCACCTCCAAATATAAAACTCGCGTATTTAGATACTAAACGAATCGAAGAGTAATTAGAATTTTTCTAATCAATCTACCTCTGGATTTGGATTGGCTTATGAGAGCGCCAAAATACTTTGATTTCTTATGTATCCCCTGTTCGTGCCTCTACCTCTCTCAGCAACTATTTTAGCATTTGAGAACATCAAATAGAGAACCTCTCCTTCACTCCAAATATGATTCTTCTTCTTCAACATCATCTACCAAACCTTAACACACCCTACATATTGTTCAATACACTCTATTTTTTACTTTTCATCAAAAATTTATTTTTTAATCAAATATAGGAAGTGATTATTTAAGTTTACATGTTCAAATCAATATGAACTTTTCCTATTTTAAATAACTTCATTGGCACCAAGACAATAACTATATCATCGTGACCATTTTGATGGAACGATTTATTATACATTAAGAAAGAAGTAACAGAAGTACAAACTCAATTGTTTATTTTTAAAATACAATAATATTTAATATTTAATATGTTGCCTATTTTAAATATATACATTGTTATTTTTTTATCTTTGTTCGACTTTTGGGTTGAATCTTACGATTCCTGATATGAATCTCAATTTGTTAACTATGTTCACCGGCCCCAGGATCACCCCCAAACTTATCTCCATATTATCAAAAAACCCCAATTAATATGATTTTTCAAGCCCGAGCATCCCTACAGAAGAATTCAGGCCACTCGCAAACATTGTTATCAAAATCTTATGATTCGCGATTCGATTTAGTCCCCATTCAATTCAGATTTTACTATAGAATCATTTTTTTCCAAAAATCACACCAGAATCGTACAATTCAATTCGAATCGAAGGAATCACATAGTTTGTTTAATTATTTTTTAAAACCATATTTCTTGTAAAATGACGTCATTTTCCTAGAAGAGACCCACCCTCAAATATAAAACTAGCATCTATCTTTGTATCTCTTGTTTGCGTCTCTGCCTCTCAAGAGACTATTCAAGTGTCTGTGAACATCACACAGAAACATCTCCTTCACAGCATGTATGCTTCTTCTTCTTTAAAAATAGCTACCAAACCCCTACATACCCTCTTGCTTCCATAAATGCTTTGTTTTTTGTTTTTTGTTTTTCATCCAAAAAAAAATCAAATCGAATGTGGGAAGTATTTTCTAAGTTAACATACTTGAATTAGTATGGACTTTTCCTATTTTAGTTTAACTTCATTGATAGGAAAACAATAACTATTTTTGGTTAAAAATCATCCATCTTTCATCGTGGCCATTTTTTAGGGAACAATTTATTACGCATTAAGAAAGAAGTAATAGAGGTACAAACCAAAGTGTAGTTGTATAAAGATTTATAAAAGCTAGCATCTCTCCATTTAGATGACGTGATTATGTCAACTTTGTTAATTGATTATTTTTAAAATACAATAATATTCAATATTTAATATCTTACCTATTTTATATATGTACATGTTATTTTTTATCATTGTTCGGATTTTGTATCGAATTTTACGATTCTCGATTCTCAAATTTAGGATTTTGATTCCCAATACGAAACTGATAACTATGCTTGCAAACTAAAAACCAAGGTTATGACATAGTTTATAATTCTTCCTCACCTTTCATTCGTTATAAAGCTGCGTATGGATCTAAAATTCCATTCTGGGAGAATACTTAAGAAGATCGTTCGCTACTTAAAACTGTTTTCTCATGTCTTTATCCTCTTTACGATGTCCATGAGCTATTTCTACTTTTCTTCTTATGGGGAAGATTCTTGTTCTTGCGATTTCCATTTCTNTTTCATCAAAAATTTATTTTTTAATCAAATATAGGAAGTGATTATTTAAGTTTACATGTTCAAATCAATATGAACTTTTCCTATTTTAAATAACTTCATTGGCACCAAGACAATAACTATATCATCGTGACCATTTTGATGGAACGATTTATTATACATTAAGAAAGAAGTAACAGAAGTACAAACTCAATTGTTTATTTTTAAAATACAATAATATTTAATATTTAATATGTTGCCTATTTTAAATATATACATTGTTATTTTTTTATCTTTGTTCGACTTTTGGGTTGAATCTTACGATTCCTGATATGAATCTCAATTTGTTAACTATGTTCACCGGCCCCAGGATCACCCCCAAACTTATCTCCATATTATCAAAAAACCCCAATTAATATGATTTTTCAAGCCCGAGCATCCCTACAGAAGAATTCAGGCCACTCGCAAACATTGTTATCAAAATCTTATGATTCGCGATTCGATTTAGTCCCCATTCAATTCAGATTTTACTATAGAATCATTTTTTTCCAAAAATCACACCAGAATCGTACAATTCAATTCGAATCGAAGGAATCACATAGTTTGTTTAATTATTTTTTAAAACCATATTTCTTGTAAAATGACGTCATTTTCCTAGAAGAGACCCACCCTCAAATATAAAACTAGCATCTATCTTTGTATCTCTTGTTTGCGTCTCTGCCTCTCAAGAGACTGTTCAAGTGTCTGTGAACATCACACAGAAACATCTCCTTCACAGCATGTATGCTTCTTCTTCTTTAAAAATAGCTACCAAACCCCTACATACCCTCTTGCTTCCATAAATGCTTTGTTTTTTGTTTTTTGTTTTTCATCCAAAAAAAAATCAAATCGAATGTGGGAAGTATTTTCTAAGTTAACATACTTGAATTAGTATGGACTTTTCCTATTTTAGTTTAACTTCATTGATAGGAAAACAATAACTATTTTTGGTTAAAAATCATCCATCTTTCATCGTGGCCATTTTTTAGGGAACAATTTATTACGCATTAAGAAAGAAGTAATAGAGGTACAAACCAAAGTGTAGTTGTATAAAGATTTATAAAAGCTAGCATCTCTCCATTTAGATGACGTGATTATGTCAACTTTGTTAATTGATTGTTTTTAAAATACAATAATATTCAATATTTAATATCTTACCTATTTTATATATGTACATGTTATTTTTTATCATTGTTCGGATTTTGTATCGAATTTTACGATTCTCGATTCTCAAATTTAGGATTTTGATTCCCAATACGAAACTGATAACTATGCTTGCAAACTAAAAACCAAGGTTATGACATAGTTTATAATTCTTCCTCACCTTTCATTCGTTATAAAGCTGCGTATGGATCTAAAATTCCATTCTGGGAGAATACTTAAGAAGATCGTTCGCTACTTAAAACTGTTTTCTCATGTCTTTATCCTCTTTACGATGTCCATGAGCTATTTCTACTTTTCTTCTTATGGGGAAGATTCTTGTTCTTGCGATTTCCATTTCTCAGGTGCCTAAATAATAAAGAAAAAGAAACATAGGCTTTAGACTGTAGATAAATCTAGTAATTTTGTTATAAATCTTTTTATTCCTATCTCATAAGCTTCTAAAATGCTCATTTCTTTTCTTTGCCATACTCAATTGGGAAAAATAGTTCTGAAAGTGAAATCTTCTGTTCAATCTTTTGTACTCACCAAGATGATTAATGACGATATGTTGTAGGCAAGAGCCATCTAAAACTTTAGCAAGTGGAAAATTGAAGACTCATTTATTCATTAATTGATCTTTCGCATGAAGTTTGTGAAATAACTTATTCAAAGTGATTGGAGAGACTTTGGCGCATCCTTTTACATTGGACTGGCTGTTGAATATTAAGTGTTGAAGCTTGAGTAGACTAAGGAAGATAAGAGTCTTTTAAATTCTGTCAATGCAAATTCTTGGGTGTATTTGGTGAGAGAGGAATGTAAGGATTTTCTATCATCATTCTCTTCCTCAAGCATTTGTCTAGGATAGAATTTTGTTCCTCAATTCCTTTATCATACGCGCTAGGATTTTCAATAGACTGCCTTTGTTGTATTTCCAACACGATTGGAAAACAATTCTATTTAGTTTTTGTTTCTTTTTCGTTGTACTTAATTTTTCCTAACAATTCGATATATCTTGCCATCCCTAGGAAAAAACATCCAACTCCTACATACAACTTACCGGATTTTGAGGGGAAAATAGAGAAACTTGAGCAACATGAAAGAAAAAATAGAAAGCAATTAAGAACAACAAAACCTAGAGAAACATGCACCACCAGACAATTAAATCCAAATGGATGGGACATGATTCCTTTTTTGGAGGTCCTAAAACTAGCATTTAATATGATTCATATGAAAACTTGCCAACTAATCTGAATTTGGGAGTTCTAGATCAATAATGTATGTATTAAGCAACGTATCCCAAGAATTGAAGTACTAAGTACTAATGCTTGGCAAAATGAAGGACCCAATAACACGATCAAAACAAAAGTTCGTAAATCTTGATTTTGCCTAGAAATCAAGCCAACATAAAAAGTCAATATTTAGATTTGCAACAAGGACTGGCTTTAACTGCCACAAAGTATAAGGACAATAACAGAGAGAGAACTAAAATAATTTAAGTAATAAAAGCACGCAAATTGAATACATTGACCAAAACTATCAACTATGTATTATTTTACGTCATAAAACCAAATAGACTTGGTGACCAGACAAACTCCCAAGTTTACAAGAGGAAGTCAAAGAAAAGAGTTTTGTAGTTGACAAAATTACTTGGGCCCTACAAAAAGAAAGTATGTAAAAACTATGAACAATTCAAATAAGTCACAATGACCCAGCCTAATGCGAAGCGTTCTACTTAGAAGAGGAGCAATCCTGGAAGTTTAGATGGAGTGCACTAAATTATGTTTTAGCATGAATGGAAGTTTTGTTTATGTCAAATTTAAATTATCATGCTTATCAAATAAATAGCAATAATCCGTGCCTCAAGGCACTCTGCAAAACAAAAAGTTGAGCATTGATTGTGCAATAGTTATTTTTAAAATAATAATTTATTTTTATTTTTCATATTCTTTTCTTTAAACAGAAGTAGTGAAGAGAAGAGAGAGAGATGAATGTGGATTAGTAAGGTTGATTGATATTGGAGATCGTGCTTTTAGCACGAAAAAAATTGAGATAAATTTTGTATTAGATCATAGTAAATAAAAATAGGTCAATCTAGACCATTGCGTTTTTAAAAGTTGAGAATTCAACTTCATAGTCGTGGCTGTAATATTAGACAGATTTAGTTTTCAGTAGCAAGAAACATAAAATAAATGTTAGTTCTCGAAAAAGGAGCCACCACAGAGCTTGTTTGCATCAGGTTATGAAAAAGAAGCACAAAGCAAAGTAAAAACACAAACGCACAAAACAAAACGAAACAGCATCAATATACGCACACTTAGAAGCATTATTTCCATAATCCCTAGACGTGTATGAATATCTTGCTATCAATCGAACTGGTCCAAAAGAAATTAAGAAAAGAGCGTACCCATATTGGCAATGGAGGCAGAGGTAATGGCCTCGGTGGTCACATCCATGGCGGTGGCGCTACTGTTGTTTGAGTAACGCACGGGAAGCTTGGGGGCAGCAAGAGCTGCCTCCTGGACAGCGAGCTTTGCGGCTTCTTTCTTCTCATAAAGGGGTTCCACAATCTCTCTCCTTATAGCCCTTAGCCTCTTCTCTCTTTTCGATCTCATAGACTTTGCCATTTTCGTTCCGATTTATGTATTTTTCTGCTGTGTTTGTTTAGCACTTCAGCCCCTGTCTCTCAGTTCAACAGCAACGCCCCCTTACGCCTTAGAGTTTTTACTCTTTTTGTCTTTGGTTTGGGCTTTAGGGTTTTAATAGCCTCTCCGCCTCTTCACACACGTAAAAGTGTTTCATGCCGTTTGGTTCCTTGGAAATACATGTTCTAATCATCGATTAGGATATCCTCTGGCTTTTTTGTTTGTCTTGGATAAATTCTAATCTAATCCATATCTATATTATATTTGAGGTTATTCTCACCTCTTAAGTCTTTTTTTCCATCGTATTTGATCCACTTACTTCAAACTACTAAATTCACCTTATATATATCCAACTCATTAATTACTAAGCTGATCTTATCTATATTCACTAATTAAAAACTAAATTTATTCAATTTTATTTCCACCTACTAAGGCAATAATCAAAATTTTTGTTTTGGTATATTATTTTGGTACGAAAATATTTTAGAAGCAGAATAAAATTAACAAAAAAATAATTATTATTTTTAAAATATTAATTGAAATATATTAAAATATTTTAAAACACTTCAAAATATTCCAAAGAAATTGGTGAAAATATATCAAAATAAATCACCTCGGAACATTGAAATTTCACTTTAATTATTATTTTTGTTTAGGTTTCTTTGACATATATTTAATAGTTTAATTGAATGGTTATAAATGGGTGAACTTAGTAAATAATGAGATGGGTATATATGGGGTATCTATATCTATATTACTTCTAAATGTACTTAAGTACAAAAACTTTTTTTTTTTTTGAAATTTTATATTTAAGCAATACAAAATTATCAAGTATATCCCCAATTTCTTTTAATTTTAATGAATGTGCCTATTACAAACCAGAAGTTCAAGTGTTTCAACCCTTTTGCGTTCTCGCATTGTTTCATCTACTGCTTACATTGCGTCTTTAAAAACAAGTTCAATTCAAGCACTTATTCATCTCTCTCTTTCTCTCTCTCACCTGGTTCACTTGCTCATAAGAGGATTCAACAATTCCATCAAATACGGAAAATTCAATATTTTCATCAAAAGTTTTTGATTTTATATGATTCAGTCAAACACATTTCCATAAAATATGATGATGTTTGATGATTCACCTACTACTGCTCCTTTTGGGTCCGTTTAATTAGAAAGAAAAAAATGATGAAAAGTGAAAGTGATAGAAAGTGAAGTGAAGTGAAAAAAAAGAAAGTGAAAAACAATATATTTTCTTGTATGTGTTTGATTAGGATGAAAATTTTGTAAGAAAATTTCATTCTGTAATTTGAAAAGCAAGAAAGTTACAAGAAATTTTATTTAATTATCTGAATTATCCTTACGTATAATTATTCAAAAGTGGTTCTACCCATATGGCTACAGAACATGAAATTGACAATAAATTTTCTCTATGTTGCTTTAACATAAATTATTTTGCATTGCAAATTAATTTATGATCATTTATTTTTTTTCCAAGTTAAAATTCAACTCACCAAGCTTATAACACTACGTTTGTTAAAAAAAAAGATTTATATCACCCTAGAAAAAAAAAAGATACGAGTTCTATAACGATCCAAAATTCACTTTAATCGGCATTACTATCTAAAATCATTCACATCATGAAAACAACTAATATGATCCATAAGTAAAGAAGATTTCATTCATCATTCATAATATTTACAACATCATCCAAAAGAATATGTCAAACCATGGTCTTTGCATCCAAAAGAATATGCCTAACTATAGTAATTACATCCCAAAAATTAACAATTAACTTGCAGCAGAATAACAAAAATATTAAACTTCACATTGTCTCAAAATGAATCTCTTAGTCTAGAACATAAAAAGGACAATTATCTACATCTCCCTCTGGATCCACAGGCCCCTCCACTTGAGCTCCCCAAAGTATCTGCTCATCCACTCCCAACTCTTCCTCTAAAGCAAAATTTGAAAATAATATTGTTTATAGGGGTGAGCACTAAGCTCTGTAAGAAAATCCTCCCAAACTTGAACAAGGTTTTCAAAACATATAAAATAAATCGATCTTATTTCACAAAAATCATATATAACTTTTGAAAGAAAATAGTGACATCCGATCTCAAGTTTACGCAATCTTGATATATAAAATGAAGAAGTAAAACCAATTCCAACAATAAGCCATCTCCACAACAATAACCAATAATTCACTACTTGTACCATTACCCACAATGTATATCAAGTTACAACTTGTATATTTCACAACATTATGTATATGTATCTCAGGTATGATGTATAACATCGCATGAATAAAAACATCAAGAATATCCTGGCCAACACACACACACTCAATCCTCATAAGGATATCCAATCTTTAGGAAGGGGCATATAGCAATGCATTGGCAGAGACAATCCAACCCAAGAATAGTATACTAACATTTAGCCTTGATAACACTTGAGCGAATAGTAGTTTGGTCCTCGCAAGGCACCAACCCCACTATGAGTGGTGGGGAACCTTCAAACCCACACGGAGTAAGAAACTTATCTACACCACTCTACGATACCCGATTAACAGTCATCCATGATCATCCAAATATCCACAAGAGATACAATACAACCCAATTCCTCAAATCACAAGCAAAATCCAAAAATTCCCAAATTTCACTAGTATGATTCCAATAGAATAATTTGAGAAAATAAGCAAGATATCATTAACAATACCATTTTATTGTTCAATACCAAGTACTAGAGTTTTGAAATCAATAACAAATGAATATTGAGAGAAAATTTCATTTTTCTTGAAAACTAGGGTTTTCCAGACAAGAAGAAAAGATTTCATGGCTATTCATCTATAGCTTCCATCAAAACATGTTAATCTTTGCAAGAGTATCAAGAAATAATGATTTGATAGCATATATGTAGGATTGAGAGTGAAAACATACGTATATATATGCCCTAGCCTCAATAGACAAGAGNTATGTATCTCAGGTATGATGTATAACATTGCATGAATAAAAACATCAAGAATATCCTGGCCAACACACACACACTCAATCCTCATAAGGATATCCAATCTTTAGAAAGGGCATATAGCAATGCATTGGCAGAGACAATCCAACCTAAGAATAGTATACTAACTCTTAGCCTCGATAACACTTGAGCGAATAGTAGTTTGGTCCTCGCAAGGCACCAACCCCACTATGAGTGGTGGGGAACCTTCAAACCCACACGGAGTAAGAAACTTATCTACACCACTCTACAATACCCGGTTAACAGTCATTCATGATCATCCAAATATCCACAAGAGATACAATACAACCCAATTCCTCAAATCACAAGCAAAATCCAAAAATTCCCAAATTTCACTAGTATGATTCCAATAGAATAATTTGAGAAAATAAGCAAGATATCATTAACAATACCATTTTATTGTTCAATACCAAGCACTAGAGTTTTGAAATCAATAACAAATGAATATTGAGAGAAAATTTCATTTTTCTTGAAAACTAGGGTTTTCAAGACAAGAAGAAAAGATTTCATGGCTATTCATCTATAGCTTCCATCAAAACATGTTAATCTTTGCAAGAGTATCAAGAAATAATGATTTGATAGCATATATGTAGGATTGAGAGTGAAAACATACGTATATATATGCCCTAGCCTCAATAGACAAGATTGGAAGAAAACTCCTACCTTTCTTCTTCCTTGGTGTTCTTGAAAATTTAGAAGTTTTGATCCTCTTCAATATGCAAATTCCTCTTCATCTTGTGTTTTCCCCCTTATCTCTTCCTCTCTAAGCCTCTATAGGGTTATAAATGTTGAAATGGAGCTAAGAGAGGTGTGCTTAAGTATTTATAGGGGGTGAAATGGTCCTCTGTGCGCGAATTTGAAAGTTAGAATCCATAGCTCACGTTCGAACATCATTTGGCGTTCGAACATCGCGTGTTCCCAGTACTTTTTCTCTCCCATCGGAGCTCCACTAAACGCAAAAGTACTACGATGAATTGTCGTTCGAACGTCCTCCTAATTTCTGCTAAAACTTCCAGTAAAGTTTTGATCCATTGAGAGGTCAATTTGGAAACTTTTCATGAAATACTATTTTGTAGCCCCAGCAATATACTATCTACTGTCAAAATTTCAGATCCAATGGACATTAGGATAAAAAGTTATGATTCAAATACTAGACAGTGTCCAAAATCTTTTCTACCCAATTTCTCTCTAAAGTGTGTTTTCACTTCGAAATACTTTCAACTTCTACAACATACCTTATTACCTCGCCTAACATTTTTATTTCTACTCTTACCATCCACCTAGTTCATGCATATATCATCACATATATTAGCATTTTCAAAATAATTACATTACTATATAAGAATAGAATGTGGTGGTTTACAATCCACCCCATTGAAGAAAATTTCGTCCTTGAAACTTACCTTAAGTAGAGAACAAGTGAGGGTACTCATCTCGTATCTCCTGCTCAGGTTCCTAGGTAACTTCCTCCACCCCATGATGTTGTCACAAGATTTTCACCAGTTGAATGACTTTGTTGCGCAACACTTTCTCATTGGTATCGAGAATCTTCACCGGTTGTTCTTCATATGTTGTTCCATCTTGAATTTCAATATACTCTAAATCCACGATATGCGTTTTATTCGTTTGACACTTTCTTAACATTGACAAATGGAACACGTCATGTACCCCTGACAATTGAGCTGGTAACCGAAATTGATACGCTACTTTGCCCAGATGAGTTGAATTTTCTCCGTAGTCTCCCAAATAATTTCTGCCCCAAACAAACTACTCTCTCCAGCTTCCAACCAATAAGTCAAGGATCTACATGGTCTTCCATACAATGCCTCATAAGATGCCATACTAATGCTAGATTGAAAATTGTTGTTATATGCAAATTTCACCAATGACAAATGATCACTCCAACTTTCCTTGAAGTCCAACACACAAGCATGTAACATATCCTCCAAAATCTATGTCAC